AAATGAAATGCCAAATGTGATCCCTTTATGCAACGGGGATTTAATGTAGCAAAAAACAAAATGTGAAACAAATTAGCAATTTGTAATACAATGTCGATTACAGAGAACACAAATCGCGACCTAAAACTAGGACTAACGTAAGCGAGTGAACAATTTGAATAATTTGAAAAATTTCAATGAAGAGGGGTTCTGTATCTTGTCTCTGCCTATCAGTGGGTTGATCGTGTTTCCTATTGTCTGTAGTTGTGCGTTTTTTGTCCCCCAATCAATGTTCAGTTGTGTCTGAGATAGCAACTAATCCTTTTGCATGGCATGACTGGGAATGGCACCTTTCAGTAGTCGAAATACAGGATCACGTTTATAACAGAGTGCAACGTTAACGTATACCGGGCACACACTGCTAGCTAGCTAGCTAGATCTACTGTACAGTCCCATTCTTAACCTGATGTAGGTAGTACTATACCATCCAACACACAGAGGATCCACTGGAGAACATTAAAAATCAGGCCAAATCTTTTACTTCATTTTGTCTGAAATTTCATGATCAAGTGGGGCCCTTTAAGTTATTTACTCCATTTCTGTTTAAGATTTCATCACTTCCAGTCTGTTTTTATTTTTTATTTCAGTCTGAACTATAACATCATTAATTGTGACTGTGTGGTGACATCACATTTCTTTCCGACATCACATTTACATTTTGACATCATGTTTTATACATCAAATTTCATTCTGATCAGAGAGAAGTAAAATGTGATTGGGACACAGAAGATCTATTTTCTCTTTAATATCTTGGCTACGGCAAAAACCAAATACCCTGGTTATTTTTAGCCATGATTTATGACATTTAATCAATCTCATAAGTTTTATCCCAAATATAAACTATAATGTTTTGAGAACAAACTTTTCTACAAGATATAATAAATCATATTTAATGGTGATGAATGATCATAATCACATTTGGACTGTACATATGTTCAAGTTATAACCCTTAAGGCAAAGGGTATCTAGAGCTCTACTACTGACGATGAGAAGGTATTCATCTTACAATTGCAATATTATTAAATATTAACATTGGCAGCAAACAAATCCAGAATTTGCCCCCTGAACATTTTATTTGTGTTTTCAGTTTATTTTCTTATTTTGCTTCCAAACACTTAAATTTTGAACTATTTAATTCTGTAAAATGCATTAAAAGATGTGTTTTAATTTTTATTAAGTTAATCTATAGAAAATGAATCAGATATTTATGCATATATTCTTCTTCACCTTTAACTTTCAAATGTGTCATTTAATTAGCAAAGTCCAAATTTAGCTACAGTGTTTTAAATATATTCAAAGATTTCTCATAGTTACAAGTGCACAACATGGCCACAAATACAATACAAACCAATGAAGTGTCCAGAAACAAATCAAGCATGAAAAGACAGGAGAATAAAGAAATCTCAGACAATCGCAAACGCCAATAGAGTAAACAAGGACACAACTCCTTTTGAAAAATCTTTTTTTATCATTTTTGTACGTCCACAACTTATACATTGTAGCATGGGTTAGGCTTCAACAATGAGCTGATAGAAAACTTGATCCCTGTCACCTGCCTATACGGGGTACAAGTCATATTCAGGGGTCGGGAAAGGTCAAAGAATCCCTCCCTTGGCCGACAGACCAGTGGACTTTCATCGCTGCAGGACAATGGACATTTCTATAAGCAGAGTATTGTGTACTTTTCAAACCCAGTCGACCGAGGAGTAACTCGCACTATGAGGATAGTATTACTGAGACGTTCATCCTACAACACTGCATGTTCTGACAACAGACACAAGTAAAAAACAAAACTTGGGTCCGTATCTGCTGTCAAACTCGCGACAGAATGTCCCGACAAGGTACCTGTATGATTTAAGGAGTGTCTAAACTCCATACTGTCTGTCTCGGGGCTTTTGTTTCAGTGTTAAGATTACGTTTCTACCTGTTCGCTGGTATGTTGACAGTGACTACGTCTCCGAAGCCTTAGAGTGTGGCCTCGTCTGTCGGAAGATGAAAAATTTGCTCCGTCACATTGCTCGTCTGGAAAGCTCTGTGTAGCACCTTCCATTATGATATCATGACCACTATAGCCATTCCTAGCGGTCATTTTTTAACCTGTTTGTCCTTTCTAAGGACAGGTATATGTCATGTATTTAAAACGACTTCTGACATATACACGTATCTGTACTATACGTACAACACACCCCAACACACGACCAGATGTACTAATGCACTCTAGGTAATAAATTAACCTAACAGAACCCTTAATTATCTTCTCCCTCAATTATAGCACAATCATTGTGGACGTAAGTGCTACTAAAATCAAACTCAACTTCGTGTGTGGCACAACATTCTTAAAATCAAGAATAAATTTTATTGAATCCAATGGAAGGAATTATTTTTTAATGTCTGATTTTACTTGAGTAATTAAAGAAGCAATAATGTATATATACCTGTGCGTACACATACACACAATCATACAAAAGGTACGTTGAGTTCAAGGAAGGAGAAAAGTTTAATGCCGGAAGTCTAGTCGATTTATCGTGTATATTCTTTTCATCAGTAAGAGATAAATAATTAAAAAGTACTGAATACTGAATGAGGTGAAGTAAAAGAGACAGCCTTAAGGTCTTTTTTAACAATTCTTATCGGAAACATTGATAGAAGTATCATTATTTATGGATGTTCATTGCCCTGAGCTCTTTCAAATCATAAATCCTTCCTTTTTAAGTTTATACATACAAAGGTTTTTTTTGTAATAATCTCTTCCGTCATAAGTTCAGGACTGAATGAAAAGGCACACTGTTAATAGACCATCTAAAAAAGGAATGGCTCAAAAAACTTTTGAACGAATGTGTATAAAATTTGACACTTTATGTCAAAATTTGATTTTTTTTATCATGAACTCATTTATTTTGAAAGTATCGTGCAGTATAAAGATATGGCTTGGAAATAAATAAAATCTTTAAATATTTTGTCGGGGCTCATCAAATCAATTTCTACAAGTATAAGTATTCCTTAAATTTTCTATGAAGAAGTAATTTCAGATTTCATATCAATATAATTGCAGAATATCTGTCCATTGGAATAGTGTGTCCTTGAAGATGAGTTAAGTTTGTGATTATGAGGGTCTTCATGGTACTAGCAAAGGTACAGCCGCAGGCCAAGGAGCTCTCCCCTGCAAATCATAGGAAGGCCAGCCACAGGTTCATAAGTATCTTGCAGCACCAGCCAAAGGGTCTGAAGATCTCCCTTGCTTGTCACATGACCATCAATCAAGGCCAGCAAAATTCCAAAGCTACCTGTACCTGTACTTCCATGGTAGTCACAAGCATGACAGTCAATGACATTTGCAGCAAGGCAAACACACGGCTGAAGCTACTCCTTTGCTAGTCACATTACAGTATAATAAGTTATATTACTGTGTGATCAGTTTATCTCAGTAAAGGACTGAGATTCAGTAACATAATCTCAACTGAGGTGCAAGCTACGGTTTGGATGTAACAGAATGTTAATTCAAGACTGCTGCTTTTTAGTACACCAATGCACACATCACCATGTGAACTTTTGTGCCAAATGTCATGTAGAGCTACCAGACAGAAAGACAAGATAGAAAAGTTTAGCACAGTAAAATGACATCAGTGTATAAAATGACATCAGTGTATACATAAAGCAAAAAGGCAAGCCACAGGCTCTGAATTCGAAGCAACTCCTATTCCTCGTTGATATCCAACTGTAGTGTTTATTAGTGAATGGAAAACTTAGTACAGTGTACCACTGACGAAAGGTTCCACCTAAGGGGCCAAACAGCCCCCCGCTTAATTAGGTGTGTTAAGGACAATAGGGGTAAACAGATATACCTGTTGGTGACTGTGATTACCTGTATTACCTGTCAGATCACACCTTTATAACTTCTACTACTATAAACATGATTTGTAGAGCTGAATAGGCCCCAAAAAATAACTACAAAACGGAAGACAGTAATTGGCTCAAGAAGTGGGAATCTCACCCAGGGTGACAATAGGCCTATCAGAAGCTTTACATACAGAAGGCTATATATGGTCTCCATGGCCTGTGGCTCCCCAAGTAATGGGATCTGTCCTTGTAACTGGTTCCGAAATTTGAGCTTGGTAACTGGGTCATATAAATCAGTGTAATGACACGAGGTTATTTATTGAACTAACCCCCACAGTTATGCTGAAGCACAGGTGCGCGTGTGCCCTGTTGACAGCTTCAATCAAATGTTTGTATTGGATCCATACCTACATACTTCCCCATACAGTGTAGTGCTGTTTTCTTTGTCAATGGACATAAAATAGAAATTAGCCTTATCTTATAATCTATCAAACAGATAGTGTAATTCATCAAAGTTATGACATATATATTGAGTCCATGAATTATTCAATATACTGATTCCCTTGAGGTCATTATGTAGTTTTGTAGATTATCAATCTACATCTTGCCTGAAGTTGTTGGTTTGTACATTGTATGTAAATTTTGAAAGACTGGCAAACGGGTTATTTACTTTGAAAAGTAAAGTTATATACATTTATAGATTTCTCTCCTCCGGACAATGTTTTATAACAGCGTTCTCAAATCTTGAAAATATATCAAAAATAGCAAACAATATATTATAAACCTCCTAAAAGGTTTATCAATGGTAGGTAAATCTTGTGTTCTCTTTATTCTTATTTCGTACCTTTAATTCATGTAATTAAAGTTGTTCACTGCTGTCTAAGGCAGGGATCGATCCTCTGGTTTACTGTAGTCTGACACTCGACAAATGAACTACTTAAGAGAAATTCACCCTAACTATGGTATTATTTTAGCAGAGTTACTTCTATGTTAGAAAAGTAATACTGCTGAATAGCAATGATATTAAAAGCAAATGGTTTCCAAATAAGTATTCCCACTAAAATGTTTATGCCCAGTACAGTAATGTTATGATTATATCTAAAAGCTGATGAAAATGTACTCACCATTGTTGTCTATTGTGAAGCGACCCAGGCCAGAGCCATCCCTGATGGAGTACGTTAAAAAATTCCTTGGATCCGTTTCAGAATCTGCATCACTAGCGCTCACTTGAAGAACATAAACTCCAACTGGACGATTTTCTTGAACAAACCCAGTTTCGCAATAAGATGCAAACACGGGAGGCTCAAGATTTTCATTCACATCTATGATTTCTATATTAATGAAACATGCAGACACCAAACCACCCCCATCCTCGGCTACAGCACTTATATTGAAGATCTGCTGAGATTCAAAATCAAGAGTATCCAAGATTCTGATTACTCCGGTAAGATCGTCAATTTCAAATTTGTTCTCAGTTCCATAGGTCAGTCTGTAGGTCACCTTGCCGTTCTCACCCTCGTCGGGATCCTCTGCTTTAACTATGGTAACCACGGTACCAACAGGTAAATCCTCCCGAATCTTAATATCGTAATGATCTGGAATGAATTTCGGTACTTCATCATTCACGTCATCCAGCGTAATTGTAAGAGTTGCAGTGGTCGAAAGAGGTTTTTCCCCTTCATCAGAGGCCACGACTGGTAAGTAGTACACCGCCATCTCCTCCCGATCCAGAGGATGTGCAACCCTGACAATGCCACTGTCAGCATCAATAGAAAACTTATTGATATTTGTTCCCAAAGAATATATCACCTTACCATTTACTCCTAGGTCTCGATCATGAGCAATCAGCTGTGAGATTGTGGCATTTACGAGGATGTTTTCGAATATTTTCACTTCGCTATTTCCGTTGACCCCATTATTTCCGTCCTCAAAAATTGGAGGATTATCATTTTCGTCAAGTAAGTTTACAGAAATGAGAATGGTGGCTGATCTCTGTGACCCCGCATCTGCTTGGTCAATGGCCATCACTTCAAGGTCGTACTTTGGAATGAATTCACGGTCAAGTTTTGAAATGACAGTAAGTTGCCCTGTATTTGGTCCAATATCAAACTGGTTGTGTGGATCCCCATCGAGAATAACAAAGTTAAGTCTGCCATTGAATCCAGGATCAACGTCATCAGCTTGTACCAGCAAAACAGATGTCCCAACCTCAACTTCTTCCGAGATATCCAAAATGGTAACTTGTGTTGAACTGAACGTGGGGTCGTGAAGGTTCGGACTGACATTTAACTCTGAGGTCGATTCGTCAACAAGAGGCTGGTTATTTTCGCGCATGATCTGCACCTGTTTTGCAAGTTCCTGGGACACATTGGTGGACTGACACCTAACATTTGCATCGCTGTTCGACAGTTGAGAATTTTGACGGTTGTTCACCAGCGTTATCTGCATATCTGATTCACTTGAGATGAAGTTTCCATCTATTGCTACAACTGTGACTCTCCTGGAAGTTTCAGAGTCGTCTTCCATGGAACAATTCAACAGAAGAGTGCCAGTTGCAGGTGAAATATCAAAACAGCCATCATCATTTCCGGATTCTATTCGATAGGTCAAGATGTCGTTGTCAAAGTCAATGGCAGTGATGACGGCAAGCTCAGTTCCAATTGGAGCTTCCCGAGATAGATAACCGGAGCAATGCATCTTCTCAAACCGAGGGACATTGTCATTGACATTTGTAAGCTCAATATTAAGAGTAACCTCACTTTCACGTCGGAATGGAGTGCCCCAATCTGAGGCTCGGACTTTCACTTTGTGATTTCTTCTCATGGTCTCGTAATCCATTCTCTCAGTAGTCTTGATAGTTCCTGTGAAGTGATCAATCTCAAAAGGGACGGAGTTGATGTTTGCGATGGAGAAGCTGACACGTCCGTTTCCTCCATGATCTGCATCCATGGCAGTAATAGTTGCTACTTGTGACCCGATGGGAAGATTCTCCTCCATGAGGATATGAGTGTCGCTAATATTGAACACCGGCGCATTGTCGTTACAGTCGATGATCGTGATGTTGACCACAGTATTGCCTTTTCTCGTAGAACCACGGTTACCATGGTCTACCGCACTGACTACTAGTGTTACAATTGGAACAGATTCGGTGTCAAGTCTGGCGCCTGTTGTTATCAACCCTGTATCTTTGTGAATCGTAAATAATTTGTGGTCATTTCCAGATTCTATGGCATAAGATATCTCAGAGTTTCGGCCAAAATCTTTGTCCATAGCCTTCATGTATATCACTGATGTTCCCATGGGAAATAATTCCTCCACGCTGGCCTCATACTGATCTTTCTCAAACAGAGGCTTGTTATCGTTGATGTCTAAAATGTCAACATGAATCCTTGTTCTCATGGATTTGGATGGAATGCCAGAATCGGTGGCCTCAATTTCGAGATCATATCCATCTGGCGCTATTTCTTTATCTAAAGATTTTAATACAACAAAGTTATATTCACTCGGGTTAGATGTTTCCTCAATTCTAAACAAACTCTGATCAACATTTTCTGAGTCTATAATTGACACATCACTGATGACCCCCTTTTCCCCTTGGTCCTGGTCTGTGACAGTAATTATGGCATAAACAGTGCCTTGGCTACCATTCTCCACCACTGCTGGTAGATGTTGCACTATAATCTGTGGAGCGTAAAAGTTAGCCTCTAAAACCTCTATGTGAACTGTACAATATTTAGGTCTAAGATCTGGATGTTTTGGCCCCCTATCCTCTGCTATCACATCGAGGTGATATTCATTCTCCTCAAAAACGTTTAGAGGTTGTGTCAGAGTTATCACCCCTGTTGTAGGATGAATAGCAAACGTTCTTGTCCTTTTTCTAAAGCTGTAATAGATTTCTTTATTGATACCAATATCACTGTCTAACGCAAACACTTGTACAATACTGGAATGTAATGGCGTGTCTTCACTTACGGATTTGTTATAGATCTCGGGCTCAAAAAGCGGGCTGAGATCGTTCCTATCCAGAACAGTAATGATGAGATCTGTGGTTGCCGTTAGTGATGACCCTGAGTTAGTCTGGCCAATGGCCTTGATCTTTAAATGATATCTGTCCTCGAACTCCCTATTTAATACCCCATGGGAGCTTGAATGTGTCCTCACCCTAAGAAAGTGAAAGTCCCCAACTTTATTTTCCTCTGCCTTAAACAAACTTCGACGGTCGCCATCAAATATTTTGTATCTGACATCTGTTGTCATCATTGAGTAGATGCCCATTTTTTTCGATGATGTGACATACGTCTTGCCTGGAGCCTTTTCGTAAATGGTGGCATTGTATGTGGCATGTGTGAATTGGAAGGCATCATCCACAGCTATTCCTGCAGCTCCGTTGCCAATGGCTAGCACTGCCGTGGCAACGACAAAGATGGTGTGCAACATGAGTCTTCGACACCATTTTGACTGCCTGACTGCTCCCATTTTTCACATACCTGAAATAAGCAAGAAATAGAAACAAATTAGCTGTTAGAAAAATAAAAATCTTGAATTCCACATTATTAATCTTAGTTTTTTAATTGGCAAGTATAACATACTACATGTGCTAACACATATCCAGCAAAACACTGTGTAATAGTAATGCTTGATTGTGTGAGCCAATTTTGTGACTGATGTGGCCGACCTACCGCAGAACAACTTGTAATAATATTAAATTTACTCTACAAATCAGTGGCGATGACTATCCATTCGGCTTTTATACATCACACAATCGCTGACAAACATTTGTATGAACCAGAAAATACAATATCTGACATGAAACGACTACAACATTTTAGTATTCTTTGATTGTGACAAATCATTACTGAGCTATTAATCATCAGTCATAATTTTACACATGCATGTAAATAAATCATTTATCAGTGATAAGCTTTGTCTACCAGACACTATCTGTCTAGTGTGTATTTGTACACGATGTACTTGGTAAACCTACGATATCTCCACAGGAACGATTGACAGATACCAGATCAATCTATAAGACTGTTGTCTCCCCTCAATAAAGTCAGTACTGATCTGTGCTTACCCATTTAATAGACAAATGTAAACTCAACATTGTTTAAACTCAGATATAGATCAACGACAAACCAGATTTATTTACAAACACAATATCAGTGATCATCATGTCACTTAGACATTAGGGACACAATTAGTTTTTTCACCCCCCCCCCCCCCCCCCCCCCNAACATTTTATGCCATTCTATTAAAACCAGATCCAAGAACATAGAGTATCAGAGTGGAATTAAAGATCTGGTATTAATCAGATTGCTTTTTATGCATATGAAATGTGTTTTTTCGTAACTGACCAAAATACATAGATTATAAAAACTTATTTAGTGACATGGAAAATACAAACATCAAACCACACAAGTTAAGCACAAGTGATGCCACACTTGACAACAATAGCAATAATTTGTATATAAACATTTTACATTTATGCATTGATTTTTCCCTTAATTTGACCCAAATAATGATTGTAACACAATTTATTGACATACAAGTTTTACACCAATAAAGCCACACTTGATATCCATTAAACCTGGACTGTTATCACAAAATGAATACCTTTATATATGTAACATGTGAATGAGTAACACATTCTGTACCTATAGACCCAAGTGTGTGTGGACACATCAAATGAACTGATTAATATGGAGGGCGGTCTGATATCAAAGGCATCAAACACCATCGTGCAGTTCACTCCATCTGGTTGTATCAAGCCTCACAATGACCCAGTCTGTCTAGCCAAGCAAGTCATTGATTGTACTTGTGTATTGGTGTAACTACTTCCGTCTGGACTTAAGAAGTCCTCATGGCTGAAGAGCCTGAATGTCAGTAACTTACCACACATCAGAGGTGAGAAATACCGTAGGGATCATTTTTTGGCAAATTCTGTCTCTCGCTTGATTATAATACTAAACAAAAAAGTGAAAAAAGGTTCAAACATCGTCTTTCATCTCCAAACAAACTCCGATCTTTTCGGTGTCGATTAAAGATAGCCAGGTAAAACGAAGTTACTTAACAGTGGATTAACCAAGAATTCACAAAGCACCTGTTTACTGTGTGGAAGATTTCCTACATAAGTTTTATTTTCTTTTTCCGCAGTTCTTAAGATTTTTGGATTACTTGGGTTTAAATGGTCTTACATGCATCTTACCATGAAATTTGATGGAGATATACTACATGTATATACCGGTGTGCATATATATATAAAGTTGATGAGCGTGCATATACATGTGATTGTACAGTTCTGGTCACGAAGTTGAACAAAAAATCAAGATAATACCAACCTCAAAACACAACTCTGACTAAAGATTAAAAGAAATTTCCTGGCTTTTTTTACCAACTTACTTATAATTATAGACTATGTAAAAATTAGCAAAAGAAGATCGTATATTTTTATCGACAGGTGAATTTCCTGTTTTCTTGATCAACATCAGAGAATTTAAAATTAATGATCTTCATATAAACCTTTTAAATTTTGAATAAAAAAAAGTTGTGATTCCTCTTCCAATGTCATAAGTGAGTTACCTCTTGCAAATTAACATGAAAATAAATATTTCACAAAAATTTAAATGATCTTCAGTAACAAAAATGTGATCTCCAAATGAAGGTAATTTAATATGAGAATATAACATCATGATCATGAAAGCGAAATAACATCACCATCTGGTTTAACGCTATAATGTAAAATCAGATATCATTTCTATGTACATATATATCGACCAAGGTGATGTAAAGATTCATCAGACATGTAGCTGTATGTATACGTATTAGCCAATCAGAGTACGTTTTGTAAGCAGTACAAGGCCCATCACTTGTGATTACACCAAAAACATGAATGTAAAGAAACTAATGGCAGCAATTTCAACTTGCGACATCGTTTATTTTAGGAAACGTGTGACTCATCCAGCTGGTCTAGTTGTACCTCAGACAATGCCCGAGTCTCAAAGCACTAAAGCCATTTTGCTCACTCCTATAGCTCTAGTGACACAATCAGTCCAGCGAAGCCCTAGTCATCTACAGTGCTCCAGCAGAGACAATTTCTGAATGTCAATGAAAGGGATGAGGCAAAAAATCAATAGACACTATAATATATATATCCACTTAGGCCAAACAAAATAATTGGTTTTTTTATTTCCTTTTTGGCTCTTGAAAATTTCATGTTGGTAACAAGAAGAAAATTTTTGAAAAAATAATTTGACAAAGGTTTGTGTACAGTGTGTCGGACTTGAACAGTGCTTGCATAAAATTAGCTACAAAGTAATGTGATCGGAGTGTATTTTGGCACATATATATGTAAAACGTAACGTAAGTAGGGTAAGGGGAAACTCTTTTTTGGCCTTTTGCATCTATATGCAAGACAAATGTCATAATATTACTCATTTCCTCTGGGTTTTCATAATTTACATGCAGGTCATTTATACACAAATATATACACTTTACTACATGGTAAGAATGATTCTATCTCCGAAATATTTCATTTCATAAATCAAATTACATCATCAGGTACAGACCTGAAATACAATCTACCTGGATTGATGAAGTCAGCTTGTAAAACCAAGTGAAACTAATCACGGCATGAGAAATTAATCGTAGACAAGATTTCAAATAAGCCCTGAAGGTGATATCGTACACCTGTACATCTTTAGACGGAATCACTTCCTCCAACAGGTGCAGGAACTCCACTGTGTAACTGAACCAGACATGGGACTCTGTCAGCACGTTTGTAGCACACTTGCCACATATTCCCTTTCACAGGTTATCAAACATGGCAACATCCTCAGCAGATTTTATTTCAAACAATTTGTTTCTTCACGAAAAATGTGACAGAAATATGGTATTGTTGACAAGTAATTATAAACATTGAAAGTTGTAAAGGTAACGAGAAGAATGGACAAGCTAGGTAATGGAAACTATCAAGTGTCTTTACAAGATGTTCAATAGAACTATTTTTTGCCAGAAGCGATCATCTAATTTCCATGACATGATTTAAAAACTAACCTTTACTCACTGCAGGTTGTGATCGTTAAGACCTATTAAGAATTTTGTTACCAGGAATGACATCGGTGCACACAACTCCTAGAGATGGTATTTCAGTAATTGAAAATTATGAAACACCTGCAGGACCCTAATATTATACGAGTTTTCCGTTATTGATATCTGCCTCTGGGTAACTGCATGTACATGTATCACAGATGTGCCTAGTAATCAGACGATATTACAGAACACTGCATTAGTGAAGTATGAAATATAATGACAGGAACGGCCTGCTGGGGTTAATATGTATGGAAGTCGCACATGCAGGTTGGAAGGTTTCCTCATGTTTTGCTTCTGCAGGTGTTACATGCACTTGTAGCACAAAACATGAATCTAAACGACCTTGACATTATAATCAAAGGAGGATCACTGGTACATACGAATCTGATGACAGTTAACCACCTGAGAGTGTTTCTGTTGATGAAATGGAATAGAAAGAAAACCACACAAAAAAGACATGAACACTCCTAGGGAGGAATCTGAAGACAATAAACAACCCACACTTTTTTTTTTAACCCATTCCCCCCTACATTTTAAACTGGACTTACCTAGTCTTTGATTTAGTAAGGTTCAAATGTGACTTCAGGGGTGAATTGGTTAATTTTTTGGAATAGAAATAGCAGAAAACCTCACAAAATAACACATTTCTTGGCAAATTCTACACATAAATCTCTTTAAGTACTTAGTTCCTGTGGTGCAAGACTGTTCGGTCTACATACAGTAGTACATGGTGCTGTATAGGTAATCTAACATAGACAATCAGTAACGGTCTACATGGTGCTGTATAGGTAATCTAACATAGACATCAGCAACGGGCTACATGGTGCTGTATAGGTAATCTATCATAGACATCAGCAACGGTCTACATGGAGCTGTATAGGTAATCTAACATAGACAATCAGTAACGGTCTACATGGTGCTGTATAGGTAATCTAACATAGACAATCAGCAATGGTCTACATGGTGCTGTATAGGTCATCTAACATAGACATCAGCAATGGTCTACATGGTGCTGTATAGGTAATCTAACATAGACATCAGCAACGGTCTACATGGTGCTGTATAGGTAATTTAACATAGACAATCAGCAATGGTCTACATGGTGCTGTATAGGTAATCTAACATAGACAATCAGTAAGAAACTATACGTAGAGCGCATGCAATACAGGTGCAGCATTCTGTAGTTGTATATATATAAAGATACACAATATAAGCGTAAACAATGTTACACACTGTCACCGATAAAAGAGTGCCAGTGAATCTGTTTATTGTATATAAGTTGTGGCGTAATCTGATAACTGATTGTATATGCAAAAAACCTGCATCGTAATTCTCATACGCCAATACATCTTAGCTTGCGGTATATACATGTACATCTGTGCACAAGCAGGGAACAGCC